AAAGAAAAAAGAAAGATTATTTATTTTTTTGAAATTCACATTCCTCTCATACCCACCTAAAGCTATACTCTTCTGCGCACGCACGTGACTATAATATGTATTCTTATTTTGGCATGTCACCTATATTGTATCGACCGGGCGTGTTTCCTTATGAAAGCGTTTTCTCGTATACCCAAAAAAAAAATTATACAGTAGAATTTATTTACATTAGAAAATAAACGTTCGAATGATACTATTGTGTGTGTTATTTTTTCGTGTAATTAGCCTATTTTTTTTTTTTTTTTAAATATATGTCTTTATAGCTAAATACAAAACGTAAGAGAAAAAACGGTGTATACGCCTTTCGAAAAACCTGGACATTAACATTACTATAATATATAATTATAAAACGGTTATAAAAATACACACATGAGTAAATGAGTTGATCAGTCATTTGAATTGGCAAATTTCTTTCTATTACTTTTCGATACGGTTTAAACACCTACCTAGTAATTAATGGCACTGCTCGCTGACAATGAAAACTGCATCCAAATCCGTATTCGGTGGTTCACGGTCATGCTACAGATGTCCGAGTTAAGTAGTACTTATATTGGTTGTGAACGTTCAACGTCAAAACCTAGAGAATATTATTTTTTCTTTATTATCTCAATTAAAGTGTAGACTAGTTTTATTACTTTTTTACGTAATTAACAACCCTGCATTTTAACCACAAGTTATTATTGTTATTTTAAGATTCTGAATGTAACGAAGAATGTATTGGTTTTACAAAGATGTTTGTATGTATGCGATACAGACCCTTTTCTGAAAGGAAATTTTCTTGAGGTGGTACTTTAGATAGATAATTTTTCGATTTTGTCAAGAGTTTTCTCATCAAATGTAAAAAAAAAAAACGGAGATAAAACGGGAAAATGTACAAAGCATATTAGTAAAATATTACGATTTTTATTTTCCGTGGACTACTTTTCTACCAGCGATTTTGCTCCGATTTACAATGATAGCACCTTTTCCAAAAGTTTCAATTCCATTGGAATTAAGCGATGTTTTCTCGCTGTATAAATATTTCATTATTTAATAATTTACTCGTATAACGTGGATAGGTAAATTTAGAAACGTTAAATATATTTTCATATTCCAGAAATTTGTTTGGTTTCACCGGTATCTTTTATTTCATAATGGTATACCCAATTGTTTTATTCCAGTGTGAGAAGAAATTCGTTGAACTGTTGATACGAAACATCAATATCCCCTCCACAGTCCATCTTATCGCTTAATAATTGGATTGTACTACCTATGATTAAAACTGATATTATTAATGCCACGGAACTGTCATAAAATATAAATTATATTTAATATTATTTTATTGTTAGGGATAACAAAATTAAAATGAGTTTAAAGACGTTATATGTTTAAAAATTTCCTTCTTACCAAAAATCAAACTGGGAATCGCATTGTACGTGTAGGTATTTAACCAACATGACAGTACTAAATCAAGGTAAGCAACACATACATTCTTTAAAAACTAGTGTGGCGCTATTATACTACTTGTACTAATACAGAAAGAAACTTTAAATAATTGCCACAGACCGGTAGTATTTCAAGTATTTTATAGTTATGTCACCGAATAGAACAATGGTTATTAATTTATAATCTGATAAGCATTAAGAGGAACGATGGTGATAGGAACACTCAAAAATGAGAGGATTATACCGGTATAAAATATTTGACCCATGTCGCGAACTGGGTTCAAAAAACTATACCGGTGTGGTGGTATAAAAGATATTTTGTACTGGTATCATAAACGAATTTCTTTATCTTATAACGGTGTTTAACAGTGCTACCAGTATTCGATGTAGAATACCTATACAGATATATGCAATACCTAGTGCATCCGGACGTGTAATCCTGTGGAGATAGACAACAATCGATAAATCATTTCATACACACCGATGACGTGAATCGTCTATGTCATTATTTTATTGTTATTTTGCTTTATTTAGGATTTAGGTGCCCATGTAAAACGTTTTCATTAATAATGAAATATATTATTGCAGCAACGAGTTGTATCTAAAAATTATATAATATTATTGAAGACTTTGTATAATTACGCATCACAAATACATACAAAAATACATTTTAAGTGAGTACAACGACGATTTTTATTATGTTATATGAATATTTTTTCAAAAACTAGAAAAATATCTTGAATATATTTCGCGTTACAGTGCTGTTTGCCCAGGTACCTATTGATTTATATTTGGCTTAACGAATTGGAGAATAATTGATTGATTTGATTATAAATTACAACAGATCGGCACAGTAGCGGATTCAGAAGTCACCTAGGGGGGGGAGGGGCGAATTTTCTTAAATTAAATTACCTTTTTCTCTATTTAACCTGTATTATTTCTAAAATTTTTCCACCAGCGATTTTGCTCCGATTTTCAATGATAGCACTTTTTCTAAAAGGAAATCTGATCGGGGAGGTACTTTAAGGAGGTATTTTTTGGTTTTTTCCAGAAGTTTTCATAATAAATTGGAAAAATCGTGAAAAACCACTAACGAGCTTACAGTAATCAACTCAAATACCCGTTATCACTTATCAGTTTACTCGCGGTTACAATGTCCAAAAACTCCTAACGTGGTATTCATAAATGTTTGTAACCTGTTATCACGTTGTCATTTAATTCGTTGACTGTTTTATTCGTATTTCTTAATTTTTCATTGAAGTATTAAATGCATACCTAGTGTATGTGCATATACATTTAAATGCGTTATAAACTTATAACTTATAAATTATAATTTTGCTTGTCGAAATTCATTTGTTTTTTTCCTGTTATTCGGCGTGGTTTTACAAAAATAATTTTTCAGAACTCGAGTTTGAACTTGCGATCTCTGGAATGACAACAGGTACCCAATGGTGTACTTTGACCTGACATTTTGGGGATAGAGGGAATTCATTTTTAAACAAACAAATTGGATGACATAAACAAAACAAGGTATATCATAAACTTCAATAGATTATTCATGTTTATTCCTCATTATTTTTATTGAATATGTCATAATATAATGTGTTATGAAATCTAAAATTGACTTAATTTTGCCATACATATAAATAAAACAAAATAAATGTACAAATATTATTTAGATAATTGTTTATAACACGAAATGAATTAGTTTCATTTATTTTCGGTATTTTATAGTTCGGTTCGTCTCTATTTTCACTGGTCACAAGGTAATTGTGTTAATTTGCATTGCTAGTTATGGGTAAATTGTTGTATCTTTCAAGTTTAGGTTTCTTTATTACCCACTCATCCATATTCCATAGTTTATATAAATACTTTAAACGCTGTACTTCAAACGTAATTAACAAATTATTATAATAATAAATTAATTACTAAATAATATGTATTTAAAAAGAAAAAAAAAAAAGGAATAATGTACTTGTCGTAGTTCCGTCCGTGACTAAGTTTAACAGAGGATAAAATAAAACTCCTTACTACTTCATGCAGTGCCGCGGTAATACGTGTAAACAACGATAGCTATTGTCGATTACAGATTAAAATTAGCAATAGCAAATTATATAGTCGTAATAATCACAATGTAGGTTCCTTAAGTATATCTACAACATTTCCTTGGAAATACTCAAATACCCACTTAAAAAAATGTATTAGTTAATAAACAGAACTATATAAAACAATATCACAAAGGCATTTTAATATGTGAGCAGTTTATTTAAATTTAGTGGACTATTTATTATAAGCACAATACAATCTATCCGAATATTCACAATATAATATATTTGTTACACAGAGTGACTACCAAATAAAAGTCTAAAAGGCTAAAAGATTCTTTAGCCCTGATAAATAAATTAACTAATAATTACTGTTTTTGTTTTCATCCGTGTCGCACTGTCGCCAAAATAACACAAAAAACGTTTCGAAAATACCAAAATCCCCGTCTTAATCACCCTTTAGAGGCAGAATTTCAGGGTGTCCGGACAAAGTCCCGTCGCTAAAATCTTGCCTCCAAAATCACGCCTGGACAAAATCCCGCCAGACAAAACCACGTCCGGACTAAATCTCGCCGTAACGTATTTTTCTTTGGACTATTTTCACCTTGTAAAAGTTGTTTTGGGACGTATAGGTATTTCTTTTCTAATGTGTATTATTATATTATTTGAACTAAGTTGTATAATAATTATTATACATCCGAAAATCCAGATTATTGAACTTCGACAAATTCGGGTTTTTCCAAAAACTAATATATAAATTTAAAAAACTTGTTTGTTATTACAAATGTGTGTGTTTTGAATTAATTTCGGTATTTATGAGCAACCGCTTATGTGGGCAAATAGGGCTGGTCCTAACGTGCCAACATTAAGCGGAATCCATTGTATTATAGATTATATTTGATTGTATTAAAAAATATGACAAGGGCTATATTATTACAGATAAAATATAAAACCATAACATTTACAATTATAAAATATACATTAAAATGTCCACTTAATTTATATGTTTTTTTTTTTTTTTTTTGCGTGATTTTGTCTGGACGACATTTTGTCTCACGGGATTTTGGCGACTAGATTTTGTCCTAAATTCGAATTTCAGGATGAAAAGTATCCTACGTAATGATCTAGAATATATTATATCTATGTGTGAAATTTCATCTAAATCCGTTTTGGCCCGATTGAGTCGCAAAATATCCGAACATCTAAACTTTCACATTTATAATATTAGTAGGATATAGGTAGGCATTTTTGATTTTTTTTTAAAGATCTAATAGTTTTACTATGGTGCTTTTTTTATGCCTATAAACATCTTACTATAAAACTCCAATCAATATATGACAAGTGACATTTTTTGTTATATTTTAGCTCTAGTTAGTACTTTAGAAAGACAATTTGTTTTAATTCTCATTAATATTCGAAGTAATGAGAAAAAACTGGTTCTTTAGGTTAAAAAAGATAACGGTTCTTCTTTTTCGAATTATAGACGTTCAAAATGGACACTCTAATTCATACTATAAATAAGTTGCAAGACGTGTTTTCTGTTATCGGTCACCACGATATCAATCTCCCACAAATTGTCGTGGTGGGAACCCAGACATCCGGTAAGAGTTCGGTTATAGAGAGCCTGGTAGGCAAGTCTTTCCTGCCCAGGGGCACCGGGATAGTCACCAGAGCCCCACTGGTATTGCAAATGATCAGGTATAGTAATCGAGACCGCGAAGAAATGGTTCGGAGAACAGAAAACCGAACCGCGACAGAATGGGCAATATTCTTGGACAGACCAGATGAGATATTCGTCGATTTCGATGCCGTTCGTGATGAAATCGAACGGAGAACAGAACAAATGGCGGAACACAATAAAGGCATTACGCACGAACAGATCGTACTGAAATTGTACACGCGTCTCTATGACTTGACGTTCGTTGACCTGCCGGGTATGACGATGACCTCTGCAATGATGATGGGGGGCGATCAGTCGCAGAATATCGACAAACGGATTCCAGAAATAATTTGGCACTACGTGAAGCAGCCCAATTCAATTATATTAGCAATCGTGTCAGCTACAGCGGATACGTCCACTAGCGATAGTTGGAAAATCGCTCGGAAAATGGATCCCAATGGGACGCGGACGATAGCCGTAGTCACAAAGCTGGATTTGGTTGACAAGAACACGTTCCAACAGATCATCAACTTCCTCTGCGGAAACAGAAACCCATTGAAACTTGGCGTGATTGGAGTGATAAACCGGAGCCAAGAAGACATCAATCGGAAAAAGTCCATCAAGGAGACATTACGGACAGAAAAAGAATTTCTGAAAGCCAACTATCCGGAAAACTACAAACGTCACGGAAACCGGGCTCTGGCCTGTCATTTGCAACGGATTTTAATCAATCACATCAAAGAAACATATCCCGTGTTGAAGAAACAGTTGTACGATTTGAGAAGTCGGTTAAATAACGAGCTCAGGGTGTTGGAAACCCCGGTTAGCAAGGTATCTTTCGTTTTAGATCTACTGAAGGACATGTCTGGGTCCTATTGCGAAACGATCAGGGGTGACCGAAAAAACATATCGGAACAAGAAATGACGGGTGGCGCGAAAATCGAAAACATAGTGCAACACGATTATATGACCGAACTCAAAAATATCGATCCGTTGCATGATTTAACTGACCAAAAGATAATGACAATTTTGAAAAACACGTCGGCAACCAATGCGTCATTGTTCATCAATGAGAAAACGTTGAAGAAACTCATTAGTCGTCAAATACAAATGTTGGTCGAACCGTCACTAACCTGTGTGGACAAGGTGCACATAGAAATGTTGAAGATTTTTGATACGATTGATCAAGATATACTGGAGAAACTGGCGAGATTTTCTCAGCTAAATCACGATGTAAGTGTATAGAAATTAAAATAATAATTAAATAAACATTTAAAAATATAATATAGACAAATATAAATAATATTATTTTAGATTTTGAGTTTAAAAAAGTTAGGTACTGTAGTTTTACAAATACGTGTTTTTTTTTCCTCGGAAAACACGTTTGGTTTGTAAAAATGTTCTGATATTTTCATGTGTATACGTTATTAAAACATACGGAATTTCAGCCTCACGGTACCTATTTTATTTGAAACATTTAACGAAAATTTCAGTAATTTAAAACCTAGTACTATTTTTGTTATTTTATATAACCTTAACAACAATAGAAAAGAGAATTAGATTTTAATTCTCTTCGTGTTTAACTCTCAGTTTCATTGTTTGCAAAATAATACATTTTTGCACTTATATATAAGTACAGTATATAAACTAAATTTCCCTATTTTTCATCTAACTTCCAAAGTATCCGCCTATAACAATATACATTTTACATGGTTTCAAAAACATGAAAACTCTTAATTTTCTTTCACCACAAAGTTCGATAATTAATCAGTATTTATTGAATATTTCTAAAAAAAATTTTGATTTGACAGGATTTTCCCAATAAATGGGGAAACATTGTAAAAACCGTGAAAATAGAAACAATATTAAGCAAATAATATTAAAGAAAATATAATATTATAATGCACATTATCTAATTATTTCACCATAATGTGACACATATATTGTTGACAAAGCAACACTATCAACCAAACTCCGCTCAGAATCGTTTTTCGTTAGCAATATTTGCGTATAGATATACATTAAATTTCTCCTTTTCCTTCACTCAACCTTCCCAACTTCTCACCTACAACAGTGGTAGCATCCACGTCCGAAGTTGCTGGGCTTTTTTAAATGTAGTTCAGTTAAAAATAATCTTAAAGACTTGACATGTTGATAGATGACCTATTTTCTTTTTTTAAATGTGGTAAATTTTTTAAAAGTGTTTGAGCAATTTTGAGAACTTTTTATGTAATTTTTATTTGGTAGGTACTCTGTGAATAAAATTGTTAGACTAAATAGAAATGCTTAAAAATTGACGTGAGGTTTATTTTAAGTTGTATTCAGTGTAATGTAGTATGTTTTTTTTAAATTTTTTTATACGATTTTTAATATCAAATTTTGACGAAATTTTGTTACATGTAAAAATTAAATAATTTTATATTTCTTTATTTATACCCAATCAATTTTTGGCCTACAACAATAGCGTAGTGCAATACGCTATTGTTGTATCAGCTCTTTATTTGTTTTTTTTTTTTAAATTTTTGTTGTAAAACGAATGTTTTATTGCCTTCAGGTGAGAAAGGTTCTCGGGAAAATCCTGGGAGAGACGCTGGACAACATTAAATGGTTCATCAGATCATATATCGAAACGTACCAGGAGAGCGTGAACACGTACAACACAGATTTCATGCGGGAGATCTTGAGGTTTTCGAACCAGCGGAAGAAGGAACGCCTTTTAGAACAATTCGGGCCGAACGTTAAGTTGTCGGCCGAGTACAACGAGTACGAAGAGGACCCGAAAGAGCTTTCTAAACAGATGTTAGCCACACTCAACAATCTGGAGGACACGAGCAACAGCACCAAGGAAGTTAAGGCACATCGGATCCTAGTCGAATGTTACTTCGTGTCAGTACGGAAGATCGTCCAGGACTTTGTACCCAAGCGCATTAAGTATAAGATGCTTCAGAAGGTGCTGGACACGTTTGAGAGTCGCATGCACCAGGAGGTGTTTGTACCGTACGTGGTGGAACAAGCGTTTGATCGAGTGCTGGTAGAGGAGGAGAGCGTCAAGGAGGACCGCGTGAAGGCCGAAGAGATGCTAAAAGCTGTCGACAAGGCGTTGAACATAATGGTGGAAATACAAATCATATGACGATGAGTGGTGTGTGGTATGAGTGCATGAACTGCGACAACAAATCAACAAATTAATGTGTTTTTTTTTTTTAATTCGGTTGGATATCGTAGTAATAGTTTTAACAAATGTAAAATTAAAATATGAATTGACATTTTCGCGCATATCTTGATTTTAAGCACGTGGTGTTTGAAAAGTGCATTACTATTCTTCTCCTTCCTAAACTTAAAAGTCCGATATCATTTCAGAGCTGCTTATTTCTTAAAATGTAAAAAAAAAGTCCAAAAAGTTAATGCTTTCCGAGATGTCGCAATTGGCATATTATCTTTATGAAACGACGTGTATATAGCAACAATGATATACCGCAATTTAACGATTACAACTCATTTCTGGTTGAGTTTAGGACAACCTTAGGGACCTAGCTATAGATTATAAATTTTAAAAAGAGAGGTATCAATTTACTATATACTTGAATTATTTGATAATAACGAGTTATAACAGTTAAAATTAAGAGAAATGAAGTTAAATGAAAAGAAATTTTTTTACGACAGAAGAAAAAATAGTAAATAACAAATCATTTGGTCTAATAAATATACTCTTTTTTTTTTTTTTTTTTTTTTTTTTTTTTAATAACATATATTTTAATTGGTACCTTTGCCCTAAGCCATTCAAGTTCGGAACTGACTGTCTTGCTGTATTATTGCGGCCGAAACAAAGAGAGAAAACAAATTATTAGAGGATACTCAGTATGATATAAAGCATACATAAATACAGTGCATTTATAATAATCTGTGAATATTTGATATATTTCTCACAGTTATATAATACGTACCGACATTGTACACTTATCAGCACAGTCACCATACCGGTTTTTGTAACCGCTCCGCGTGTAATCGGAATAACGAAATAAAAGGACAGCCGAAGGGGTGGCGGCACGTAAAGCCGTATTTAAGAGCACAGGAATAATTGGTAGGCGTCAAATTATCTACAGATCTACAGGCCATATATAATATACAATAATATGTAATCTGACTAGTAATGCATATGTACACCAAAAATACTTCGTTATAACTCCGTGTAAAAAAAAAAAAGCCAAGTCAAAACAAAATTTAATTTAATGGTGATTAAATTTTTAAAAGACGTGATATAATATGGAAACTAAGTATTTTGATGTTTTATAACATTACAAATACCTATGACGACAAACAAGATCAATTGTAAAAGTTAAATACTTAGTCAATATATTGTTTAACTACTCGGTGGGACGTGTAAGTGTACTTGAATAAATACGAATAATTAACCACTATGGGAAATTTCGTAAACGAATTAATAATTTATAAACAATAATATACCTACCGTCGCGCTGTGTATGGCTACTACGCTATTTTTTTTTTTTTTGTTAATTAGCTTCTCGCTTTATATTATTTTAATGCATTCTATGAAATTGTCTACATAATTTTAAATTTCAAACACAATTAAAGTTAGAATTGTTTGTGGAGTGACCATAAAATACAATAAAAGTAGGAGGTGGCCTATTATTTTCGTCCCGGTGCGCAACACTTCTGGAAATGCAGCGCTACGAGTAGAGTTCAAAACAATAACCGAACAATTATTTCATATTCGTGTGTCATTTTCACATTTTACAAAAACCTAATCCAGTCGATCAGTAAGTATCTGTAATTATTTCGCATACTTAACAAAATCTTGGCCCTGGAGTATACACAGTACTCGATATAATGTAACACCTGTACCCTTCCGCCATTCTGATCTCCGACTATACACACGAAGACGATATTATTTTGTATTTATTATGAACTATTTACTAGACGATCGTAATCACAAAATATTATTGCAAGTCGTACAAATAACGACGGACGTACCTTACCAATAATGGCTACCCCCACACTACATAAATATTGGACTTTCAATATATTATTTGGTGGAATTATATTCGGTTGTCATAATATCATCGGGAATTCGCGAGGACGACCGAAATACATGATGATAACAATAATAATAATAATTGTATTGTATTTTATCAATACTATTCGTATACGGAGACCGCAGTGAATAATTCCGTCCGGTTTTCCTCGTTGAATGGATTATTTTAAATCGTCGTTATCGTGGTCGTCGTTCACGGTGCACCGAAGTCGTTAAATTCCCTTCCAGTCAGTAGTTTACTATACAGTGTATAATCTATATGTCAATTGAAGTACTTCGTTTCGCCTTCTTTCCGTCCGCCGTTGTCGACTTCGCCGGTAAATATCAAATTTATATCCAACAATATCGTCGTTATTGTATACAATACTGTCAAATATAACATTTTTTTTGTTTTTTTTTTTTATTTTTTTTTTACACACGGTATAAAGGGGATACCGATCGTCTTCGTTTTTACGTGTCCGCGTGATTATAGGTTGGGTTTTACACGAGTGCGGTTTTTTTGTTCTCTGATTTTTCCGTGCCGGAACTTGCCGTACCGCAGAAAAAGGCCAACAACGACGATGACTACGAATCGCTGCCGTCCGGAAGGTCACAACACCTCGGACGGGTCGGTACGAGTTCAACTGTTTCCCGACCTGTGGCCAGGCCGCAGCGTCTGCGATGACGAAACGTGTGACGCCGACCCGATACCGCTGACTAGTCCGGTAAAACCACCATGACAAAAATATATCGGCGCATTTATTTTAGTGAATATCCCCTACTACCTTTCTTCGAAAAAAAAAAAAAAAACACCACGATCAGATAGATCAAACCTTCCACTTAAATTTTGGACTCTCCCCGGTTACGCCTTCCCCCAGTGTATAGAGTGTATATCAAATATTATTTATCGGTACCAAATCTACGATTTCAACCATCAATTGTTTATTTTTTAGCTGTCATATAGCAAGTTCTAAAAACACATAATCGAAATATGAAGGTTAAAAAAGTGTTAGGTATTTTACATTTTATTTTTCAAAAAACCAACTTTTTAAATAATTTCAAAAAATACCGATGAAGTTAGGTTAATGGAATATAGTCATTTAAAAATTGTATTATTTACGGTTTATGTATAAAACCGATTTTTAATTTTAGTTTGTTTTACGTAGCTTCGGTTTTGGTAATTTTTGTCTGTTACAAATACATTAATGGCAAATTATTCTACTGTGACGGTTTCTTAATATTATATTATAATACACAGTGTTTAATTTTGACGAAAATTTTACCCCATAATTGCTTTATAACACTTTACACCAACATTAATTTCTTGACGTGACCGAAACTTAAACAATAGTATTATGTGGCCCAGTTTTCTGATTGCGAATAAAATGTGATTAATTTATTGTAAACCGGCGATTTTTTCGGGAGATTTTAAATGAATTTTGCTCTGCACTATTTTAAACAGACTTTTAAATCATTATGTTGTGGAGTCGTTTATAATCGTAATTATTTTAGCATCATTTTAAAATGCTTACCTCTATTCCGTATGTAATATTTAATAAGCAGAAATGCCTTGGAATTTTCAATAAGAAGGAATGTAGGCAGTAAATTCTAATAATGGTTCCTTGTCTTCTGTTATATCTAATCCAACAATGAGAATTTAAAAGGCCTATCTCTGAAAAAGCAAATTTTTATTGAACGGATCCTCGTAACTTGACTGAAATATATAATATAATGTTTACTAAGTATCGACAATTACTAACATTCATAATTTTTGTATTTTTAAGCCGATGTGGAGATGGAGGATATAACCTCTAACGCCTCCCTTTCTTTATACGCAACGGAAAATATGTAATTTGCGCTTAAGATTTTCAAATAGCAACACTTTTTATCGTCTAAAATGGATATGAACTTCATTTCGCCTTCCTTCTTTGATAAATTTTAAATTGCTACAATAACTTACTACTCATAACTGATAAATTCAACACTATATTGTTATGCGTATCAAAATTTAAAAAATAAATATATATATATATATTGGTTCTCCATGTGAATCTGTGTTTAAAATGAGGGAGTTTCTATTTGATAAACAAATGTGTACTGATTTTAGATAATACAAATGTTATAATAAGAAGTAGAAGTAAAGCAAATTGGAAATAATATTAAAATAGTTGATCTTAAAACGATTCCATATGAAAAAAAAAAAATCAGAAATCAAATTCACTCAAAATGTTCCAAGTTTGTCACCGGTTTGGAAGAAGGGTTTTGTTAGGGGAATACATTTATGCACGGTGGGGGGGGGGTAAATATCGGTTTTATACAAATTCCAAAAACTTTCCAGTAATTTGTCCTCAACTATATTGTACTCGTATATTATCTTTATGACAATAATTAAGTTGTATTTACGTACGATATAAGCATAAAATGGGTCAATTAAAATGATGGAAATTTGAAATAGGCAGTGATTCCTAGCGATTATGTTAAGTGTCGTCGTATCTGTAAAACGTGTACCTATGAGAAAGTTTTTCAAAAATTACAAAAAAACAAACGTTTTCCCTGAATTTGATACTAAATGAGCCAATAATAATCATCGGAGTCGACAATTTTTAATTTTTTAATTTAATAATTTAGGCCCGGAATAATAATAATAATAATATTTCATTTAGAAAAAAATGCACAACAAGTTAAAAGAAACATAATGTAAATGACTGTCTTCAATTAGGAAAGAATAGTATAGGGTCACAATATTAGGCAATCGTCGCGGAAAGAAATATTGACGTTCGATTATATTTATTCGGTTTTTTTTTTTTTTCTAATAATTAATTGCGATTAGTTGTTATTGTCTCGTGAACGTCAGAAAATCTATTACACGATCGAATTTCGTTTTTGAAAATAATCATCATGGTTAATTCGTTTTTATTGTAATCAAGCGCCGACCGATATTCTAACTAAAATATAGGTATACGATAAATAGGTAACACGAGGTATAACATAAAAAAAAACAATGTAAATATCGAATCAAATGTATTCAACAGCCGTGAATCGATTCCAGCATTTTGCCATTTCTTAAGCCATCTGCTATATGTGTACATGATTTTATGTAGATTATTAATAAATTATTTATAATTATCAATAATATTTCTATAATTTTATGAAAACATTGATTTTGTATAATAAAACATTTTTGATATTTTACCACGTCTCTGCAGCACAATATTCGATTAACGACAACATTATTATTATAAATACGTAATTTTATTTCTCCTGTAAACGAAATAATAATATTATAAGTACCTGCCGAAACGATGAATTATTGTAAAGTATAATATTAACTCGTATTTTATATCAGTCAAGAGGGCGCCACACAAGTACAAAAAAAAACGAGTTTTACTTTTTCTAGAGATTCAACAATTCTATACGGTGTAGAATGGAATATTTTTTTGTATCCAGTACTTTTATTTTTTGAAAAAATTATTTCGGAAAATATTATTGAATCATTTACTTTCACGGTTTTATGTGTTTTTCAAATGTTTGTTAAATATAGTTAAGTTAAGTATAGTTTTTTCGAAAAAAATAAAAACACTGGGGCAGAGTATCGTATACGCCTTACTGAATAGAATGCAACACTTGCAAAGTAAATGTTTAAAAAACACCAAAAATAACAGGATTGGCGGGCATACGCGTATAATATATTAATACCCTGCGTATAAAACGTATAACTGTATAAAACATAAGAAATATTAAGTATACATATTTTTCTTTAAAATGTATAATTATTAATTATTATTATAGTGAAAATACTGTAAATTTCAAATTTCAATAATTATAAACTTATAAATTAATTTACCACATTAACACATCAAGTCAACATGTTGAGTATTTTCTTAAATTTAGAATAAAACAAATTTCTTTTTTATTATAATAAAATATAAATATTAATGTATTTTTTAATAAAGAATAAAGATGAACTTAGTTACCTACTAATATAACAAATTATTACATAGGTACCTATATCTTAGATGATTCATTAATACTTCTTAATAAGTCTTCTTTGGTAAATCTGAGGTTATTTAATACTTATTTGATTGGTTATATTTTTCTCCGGTTTTAAGTGAATAATATACTCTTAAACATTTTTTGATCGATCCAGTGATAATATTTTTCACAAATTGTTATACATATAAGATGAACTTGAAAAAAATTCTCCAATTGGGTTAGAAAAGATACTTAATGCGTGGTATAGTATCTACAGCCGTGATTATAACTACAGATATATGGAATGATGTTTAATTGACTGTAGTTATCAGTTGATAATTATGGTACCTGATAATTATTGTTCAATGCAACCATAAAAAAAATTATTTTATGTAGCAGTAGCGGTTCTAACATTACATTTTTGAGGAGGCTACAACTTTGTACCATTTTAAATACTCAGGTAACACAAAAATATTTTTACAATCTTTTCTAAAACGTAATCGGAATATTAAAAAAAATGTTTCGAAAACTATTTTAAAATGTCTTAACGGTCACTTTTAGGTTTGTGAAATAATATATACTATATGTTTTAAAAATATATAAAATACAGTATTTTCAATTAAGTTCAGTTCAATTCAGTTCCCAATACTCCTTCGTTTTATTTAAAACCCATATTTTGTCTTTTAAAATTAATCAGAGAACTGCTTCACTTTCACTAGTTCTCATAATTAAGTAACTAGTAATTTACAATTTTGGCAACAGTTGTGTTTAATAATTTTTACAATTATTATTTTATTTTGTTTTGTTACACTAGTCACAGACTATTGTTGTTTCTTATATTATAAATTATTAACCAGTGAATTATGTTATAATTTTTTACAAATTCAAAAATGACGTCCTAGGATAATGGTAACGGGTGCAGCCGCTGTTATATGTAATTTAATGTAATTATATCTGTAAGCAACGATAAACCATTGCTTACGAAAAAACGATTCTGAACGGAGTTCAGTTGATATATTGATGCTTAATCAACAATATATATGTCATATTACAGTAAAATAATTAAATAGGTTTTCTATATTCTCTTTAATAATATTTGTTTAATGTTGTACCTTTTTTTCCAGATTTTCTATGTTTTTCTCGGTTTTCCCATGTTTTATCCCGGTTTTTCACATTTGCCTGGAAAACTCTTGGGAAAATTGAAAAATGACCTAAAATACTTTCCAAGTTAAATTTTCTTTTAGAAACATTGCTATCATAAATTGGAGAAAAATTGTTGGTAGAAAAGTTGTGCACAGAAAAAAAATCGTAATATATTTTAACTAATACCTAAACAATTTTGTTTAAATTTCTAAAAAAATGTTATAAAATGAATAGTTATATTAATTTCTATTATATTATAATGTACAATTAAAATTGATTGAGCATGGATGAACAATTACGGTAAATGTATCACATAATAATAGTTCATAATTTGAGCATGTTGTAACCCCGACGGTTATCTGGAGGGAATTTAACGGCGCAACGAGCGTTTACTGTTCATTCGATATACGCGAAACGGTACTTTTCTCTCGTGGAACGGACTATAGGTTATAATGTTATGCCTACTAAGTGAAAATTATTATGAATTTGTTTTATAGAATACAAACACAAACTAATTAATTTTTTAAAAATTTAAATCCAAACAAATTTCTATCATTTGCTAATAAATATACCAAGTTGACTAAAATTATGCTAATTATAAAATACAATTTGTATAAATTTAGGAATCATTTTTTATTTTATTTGTATTGTTTATGTTTTAGCCGTCAAGGAGAAAAAAATTGACGTTAACGCCGGAACTTCGTCAATTACCGGCAGGTTTCATAAAGAGGGGGTATTCCTCCGGGTTCGTATATTATACTTATAAGTTGATAAATTAAATTAATTATGTCAGTGGTGTAGTCGAGCGTATACGGCGTGTATACACTTCTTGGTTTTTTGATAATGTGTATATTGAAAACTTTGAAAACGCGGGTATACGTTCACAGAACGTGTCAACGATGTTGTATGAAAACAAAAAATGACCTTTTTTTTCGTTTTGCTTGTCGGCCATTTACAAATCTGTAATCTATGAAATCTCAAGCTGTAATTATGCCATTAGCCACTGCGTACAGCTATTAAAAAATATACGACTACATCACTGATTATATTATATTAAGTGGCGATATAAAATATTATATTATACGTATCCACGATTAAAACTGTTGTTTTCTGTATTATATTAGTGGTTCTGCAAGTTTCGTAAACTCGAATGGTTTTGGATATCTGTATCAGGAAAATGGTACCAAACTGCAGGCTGCCACCACGTTGCAGGAAACGATGGAACTGATTAGTGAAAGTATATCGATGGACCGGAATAGTTTTAGCGATTTCGCCAACGATCTAAAATGTCAAGTGGTACAGCTGGAAGAAGAAATTTACCGGAAAACGGCTAAAATTGAAAACTTGCAACTGTACAACTCGGAGAAATTAAAAATCATCAACTCGTTGATTACTGCGTTAAACGAGACCCAATGGAAACGCGACACGATGCTACGGATGTGCCAGGAACACGCACCTAATAAACTCTATAAAAGCATGGTACTCGTCAACCGGGTTTCGGATAAAATGCCGGCGTTTCACTCGAATCTGGAAACATTACGATCGTATGCGAACAGTTTGGATGCGAACGACACCGCGTTATGCCAAGTGATTGGACAGTTGGTGTCGGGTCTTGATGAATGTATCGGCGTGATCAACAAAGCTGCGAGTAAAGAGCCGTCTGATACGCTTTTGGATGAAACAAATTTTAACAGCACTATCAAAAATATTATTTACGGTTTAAGAAATTTTCCGTCTTCTGCCGTAGAAACCGACGGACCTCAGAAAAGTTCCGTGGCGTTTATCGATCGCACCAGTACCAACAACGAAGAACGTAATAAGAATTTAAAAAATTTGATCGAATTGTGGGAAGTTGTTAAAAACCTATCACAGAGCAATCAATATTTGGCAAACCGGGTCGCGTCGATGAACATACACAAAACCAGTTTGCAGTACCAACTTAATGAAATGGAAAACAGCACCAAAGAGCTGGAGCTTAAGACGATTACGGAAATCGAACAGGTTGAAAAAAAACAGGAGATACTGAACCGAAATGAATCCATGATTCAACAACGTTGGGACGAATTGAACACCAGTCAAGAAATAGTGATACAGACACATCGGGCTCAAGAAATTGATCAAGAAGTGGAAGATCTTCAAATAGAATACGACAAGTAATATATCATTGGTCCCAGGGTTGAAACGCTTAAGTAAATTTTAGATTCCAAGCGAAGCTATTGGTTTAATAAGATGTATATTAATTTTTTTTTTTATTTTTTTTTCTTCTAATTTGTGGACAAGTTTTTTCCTAATAAACTTGCTCCTATTTTTACGTATAACAACTTTTTTTAAAGCTTAAGTGGTCTTTATGGTACTATAAATAGGTCATTTTTTCGATTTATAACGCCATTCTGTAAATAAAAGCACTTAAGTGGGAAAAAACGTAGGAAAACGTAAAATTTCACGATTTCATTATTTTATAAAAACACGGACGACGTTTTCTACCAGAAAAAATGATTTAATCGAAAAATCACAAGGTACCTGTTTTGTTGCCTTTTTGATTTAATTTATTACGGTACCACCGCCAAAACTTTTGAGCTACGTTTGAGATTTTAGGGAATTTTGATTTTTGGGAGTTTTTCACTATAATTCAGTTAAAAATACACAAAAAGACTTGAAACTTGGTAATGATATTTATATTTGACTAACCTAGACTTGGTAAAATTTCCAAAATCATCGGATAACTTTTTTTTTTAATTTTTAACAATGGTACTTTTTTTTTTATACTGTAGACCACTTTTATCCTAGAAAACTTGCTCCTATGTAAAGGAGCACATAGCGTATAGTGTTGCACATTTTCTGAAAATCAATTTTATCTAATTGGTAAATAAATAAGTCATTTTTTGACTCTCGAAAAGGTATTTAAAATAAAAACGATTAACCGAGCAAAAAATAAATTTTTTTCATGACTTTGTTCTTTTATATAAGTACCTACCACGTTTTCTAGCAAAAATATAGCTCCAATTAAAAAATTACAAAATACCTTTTTTGTTTAGTTATTAATTTTTTTTTTTTTTTATCACGCAGGTCGTTTTTTGATTTTCGAATTAATTTTTATAATAACGGGAAAAAACGTAGGAAGGTTAGGTTAAAAATAATTATAGCACTTCAATTATATATCTATTACCGAACTGCGCTCGGAATCGTCTTTCGTCAGCAATTGTTTATCGTTGCTTACAGATTAAATGAAATAACCTTATCTATCCTACCTTCCCAACTTTTCACCTACAACAGCAGCCACACCCGTCCCCAGTATCAGCTCTGACATAGCGATTGATTTAACTATGTGTTTTTTGTTGTTTTTTTTGTGTCTGAGCAACTTTTTCAACAGAATTCTTGCTCTAAAATATCAAGTGTAGCACCTTTTCGAATGGTAATTTTATCTAGTTAATGCATTGAGGAAGCGTTGTTTTTGACTTTCTAAGAAGTTTTAAAATGATTCGGAACAAATAGAAACAAAATTATAAGTAAACGCCATTTGGTCGTAACCAGTTTCCGCCAAAATCGACCTATTCGTTATTATACCGCCGGTATAATAACTTGTGTATGCATTTTCCGACACAACAAATTTCAATTTTTCTAATTTGGTAACTCCTTACTGTAAGAATTAAAATACATATTATATTATAGATTAGGAAATCCGAAATATTAAAGTAGTGTTATACAGTAAAAACTCTTTATAACAAATCTTAAGGGAACAAGATTTATTTATTTCTAGAGAATTTTCGCAATAGAGAAGGAGAAAAATACTAATGCATGAGTTATAAAGCAAACCAACCATTATTAAGCAGTTTTTACGTTACTTAGAATTTTTCGTTGTAAAAAGTTTTCACTGAATTAATAGGAAAGATTATGTTCGGATCAAATTCGAACAATTCATAATTTGTTAATTAATTTATTGGTTTTACTAAAATGTTTATTTGTCTTTTTTTATACTGTGTACAAAAATTCTACCAGAAATCTTGCTCCGATATATATGCGCGGTACCATTTCTGAAAGAGCATGTCCAGATGGTACTTTTGGGAGGTCATTTTTTGATTTTCTAAGTAGTATTCATAATATCTGGGAAAAACTATGATAAAACGTAAAAAAAAATTTACGAAAATAATACTTTTATTATTTTTTAATTTTGTTATTTGTTGTAATCCAGTTTAAAATATTTGTAGAGACTTAAAATTTGGACAGAAAACTTATATTTGACTTTTCTAGACGTGGTAAAATTTTTCAAAAAATTTAGCACTTAGTTTTTCGCTATAACCTAAACACGGAAAAAACAAATGCATTTTAGGTGTACCTAGATACCCAGCTATCGCTCACTCGGACTATTTTAATCGAAAAATACCTCTGGATTTGTTGTAGAAACTTTTCTACAAGAAATCTTACTCCGATATATCAAGTGTAGCATATTTTCTAAAAGTAAATTTCATTTCCGTGGTTATTTAAATATGTCATTTTTCGATTTTCCGGTAAGTTTTCTCAACAAATGTGAAAAACTGAAAAAAAAACAGAGGAAAACAGAAAAATATACGAAATGTATGTATTAGTTGAAAAATATTTCGGCCTTCATATTTCTTGTGAATAACTTTTTTACCAGCAATTTTACTCAGATTTTCAATGATAGCGATTTTTCTGAAAAAAAATCTGACTGGGAAGGCACTTTAGAGAGGTCATATTTTTATTTTCCTATGAGTTATCCCAGAAAATATGAAAAGCCAGGACAAACGTAAGGAAAACGTGAAAATCAATAAAATATTAAACAAGTATTATTAAAGAAAATATAGAATGCCTATTTAATTATTTTACCATAATATGACATATTTATCGTTGACAAAGCACCACTATCAACTAAACTGCGCTCAAAACCGTTTTTTCGTTAACAATGGTTTATCGTTGCTTATAGATATACATTAAATTACCTATAACAGTGACTGCATCCGTTTCCGTTATCCTGAGGCTCGTTTCACACTTATACGGTTTGGTTCGGTTCGGTGCGTATTCGATTCGTTTTCGATAGCCGCCGAAAAAGTGTGAAACGGTGATACGGTGTGTGTTCGGTACCTAATAGACAACTATTAGAACCGAAAGCCCCCTCGACACGAATCGGTTTCGTACGGTTTCGATTCGTTTCCAAAGTTCACAAAAGCAATTGGTCGTTTACACACATACGGTGTTGTTTCGGTTCGGTCACGATTTCGGCAAGGGAAAATATTATTTCATTTTCATTTTCTCATTTTAAATTTTGTTATTTACATTTGGCAATGTGTAAACATTGATATTGATCAGCTAATTCCATCAGTCCAATCACGTGTAGTGCTGTAGGATAAAACAAGTGAAAAGTATAAAGATAAATTTAAGACCCTGGAAACATGGAAACCTGTCGTAGACATCCTGAAGTAATTTGAAAATTTGTCATCGTGCTCCCTAAATTTCGGAAAAAGGGTATAAAATGCACCAAACTCCACCCGTTTGGTGATGATAGAGTGTACCCAGTAAAGTCGATTATTCCTCTTTCGTTTTTATAGAGAAATAACATGGTAACAATTTGTCTTTTCTCCATAGTGAGCATTGTAGACATAGTGGGCGACTGCGTATTTGATGATTCGGTTGTGAAATTAAACCTGATACTAACCGAATGTGTGTAAAGAGTTTTCATTCGTTTTCGGTAGCCGCCGAAAACGAATCGAATACGCACCGAACCGAACCAAACCGTATAAGTGTGAAACGAGCCTAAGACATTTTTTTTTTTTCTTTTGTTTAACAATTATTTTAAACAATTAAAATTAAATACACTTGCCTAATCAAATTATCCTTTTAATTTTGTTTTCTTAGTCACGACAAAGAAAACAGACAGTTGAAAACGGACTTGAATTATCTCAGAAACGAATTAAATGAATATCGGATGAAATGTGAACGATTGGAAAAGGAAACCAAACGGATAGAAACTGAGAAAAATAATGTTTTAGAAGAGTACGCCAAATCTTGGGGACATCACAATTCGAAACAAAAGATAAAATATACTGGGAGACTTATCAAAGATATAGACTGTATAACTCAGGTAATTATAATCTATTTAAACTAATTTATCGGTATTTACAGTATTAGATTCAAGTTTAATAAAGAAATTATTCATTTTACTAAGATGAGTTTTATGTGGTTGGCAAAAGTGTTCTAAATTTTTCACGGCATATATCTTACAATACATATATCTTACAAATGCAAATTATTCACTTGTTGATAGATTTTGTAATAGATTTTATATCTACTTCACTGTTTAAAGGAAATCAAATGGTTGGAAACTGAAATCCAAGCCGAAATCGAAAAACAAGACCATGGTGTTGTCAACGTAAATACTTCTGGTACCGGCTCAAGAACTCCAGTGTTCAGTAAGATTCAGCCAAAATCCGAAAAAATTCCGCAGACGCCAAAAACGTGCGGAATTGTTGAATCAAACAAACGGCAAAATTTGGGCATGTTTCGGGAGAGCGTTGTTAGTAAATTACATTACCAGTAGATTTGGATTTGATACCATAATAATGTGAGTCCAACGGGTGAATTAATATTACAATACAATTTTTTTTTTTAAATTTAATATTAGATTTTGAGTGGAGCAAGAAATTTATTGGTTTTATATTTATTTTTTTTGTGAACTAATTTTTTACCAGAAAATTTGACCAGATTTTCAAGTGTACCTCTCTTTCCGAAAGGAAATTTGATTTGGGTGATAATTTAAATTTTTTAATTTTCCTAAGGGTTTTCATAATAAATGGGAAAAACCGAGAAAATACAGTATAATTAACCGGAATATACAATAATAGACAAATATTATTAAAGAAAATATAAAATGCGTATGTAATTATTTTACTATACAAGGAAATATGTATTGTTGACAAAGCAATAACTAACCTAAACTAACCGAACTCAGCTCAGAATGGCTTTTCGTTGGCAATGGTTAATTGTTGCGTATAGATACATTACATTCCTACCTATATTCTACCTTCTAAACTTCCCACCTACAATAATGGCTGCACAGTGCAGTCTGCACCCATCAACATTATTCTAGGATATCTTTTAAAACTGTTATAACTAAGGCAAAGAAGTTATAGGATGTAAAATTGGATAAATATACTTACAAAAAATTAAAAATATACATTCACACCATTAGATATGCAAAAAATATATCCAAAAACATGTATATTTTAGAAAAATTATTTAAAAAATTAATTGTTTTGTAAAAATCAATACATTATTATGTAAATAAATATAAAATTAATCTTAATTTACTTGAATTTTCATTATTGGTTAGTTTATCTTTAATCTTGATATTATACTTAAAATAAATATTAAATGTATTAATATAAAAGTATTTTTAAAGTTACTTTTTCTCACTTGATAAACTATTGTGTTGCACAACTAATGTTTTTTTTTTTTATATTTTTTACGTTAATGATCTCAAATTGTTAGCTAGTATGGTTTTGTAGGGAGAACAACTTCATTCAACGTTTGTAGATGTTGTTGGTGCTACTTTAAAAAAATTAAATCATTTCCAGTTAAATCTGTTGGTAAACAATCTATCAATGAAAACTCTTCATTTAAAGTTTTTAAATATTTTAATATTATAGCGAAACCATAATTTTTTTCCAAAACTTGGTTAACATTTTTTTTTACTTTCATTCTAATGTTACCAACAACTAAATAAAATATATTTTTTGTGATAATACTGTTGTTACTGAATCAGTTAATAACACTCCTTGAGATTCTAATTTAGTTATTGATGGTAAAAACCCATGGTTGGAATGTGCAAAAGTCAAATTTGGTTCCATTGACATTTCATTTAGAAGTGCTTGAGATTATTTTATAGATGCAGCATCATTAGAATCAAAATGCTACATAATATCTCGTATTTGTTTAAAATTTTGACAGTAATAAGAATTAGTTTCAATCCAAGTAACCCGACGTGTGAGTATAAGTTCGAGAGGAAAAGGAAATCCAGGAGCTTCTATTTTAATAAAACATGTGAAAAGTGTTTAAAAATTCTTGCTTTCCTTGTACCATTAATTTATTAACTCTGGGAATATGACTCCGAATATTTTCTGCCAATCTATGTAATCCGCGTGCTATGCAAGTAATATGAATAATAAGAATCATCTTGGAGTACAGAGCTTTAATATGTGTCCCTTTGTACCTGTATATATACAGTATATACAATACCATACATTTTTTAATCAATTAAAAATTCGGTAATTTTTCTTTCAAAAATGTATTAATATGTAGAATATGTATGAAATTTGCACAAAATATGAACAAAATAATAAAATATATATTTTTATTGAAAATTGCCAAAATATGCAAACAAAATTTTATATTCTACTTTTGGAGCTTATGATTTATACCTTGAGTCGCTATGAAATAAAGGCCCAGGAAAAAACATAAAAATCCTCTAACTTCTCTGCCCTGGTTATAACAAATATATTTGATTTCATTAATCAACAATTTTGTTTCTGTAGTGATATTAGTGGTAATATCGATATTATTATTATATATTTTTAGTTTGCGTATATTATTATAAAGATGAGTAGATGGCATTTCCATTAGGTATGAATAAAATATAATTTGTTAGTTAGGTATTACTTATTAGTCATTTGTTATTGTCCAATGATTGAAAGTTGATTAGTAGTGATTTCATGTGAACATTATTCTGTTGAATAAATATCCAGATTTTGAAACTGAAATGATTAATGAATGTTTATATTATATTCACTTTGTCAAAAATTTTTATTTAAACAAAAATGTGTACTCATTAAATTACTACTTAAATTCAATACGAGGGCTAATCAAAAAGTATCAAGACTGGTAGTATCATTCGGAAAAGGAGCATCGAAGAGCAGTAGGATTGGTATCACTTGCTTCTATGACTTTTTTTGAGTAAATTTGTTTTATTGCTTCTCTATAAAATTCTTCGGTTTGATTTCACTGATATTTTTGTAAAATATATTTTTCGAGTTTGGCGATTTTGTAAAAACCCAAAAGAAGNAGCGAGTTCCGCTTCTTTTGGATTCATTACGAAATCACCAAACGTGAAAAACAAATTTTAGAAAAATATCGTCAAATCAAAACGAAGAATTTTATTAAAGAGATTTTATACGAATAGATGTGCTCAGTATAAGTCATAGAAGCTAGATTTACAAATCGTTTTGCTCTTCAACGCTCGGTTTCCGAGTAATATTATCAGTCTCGATACTTTTTGATTAGCTCTCGTATATTTGGAAACTGAGTTAAAATAAATAATAGTAGGTATTATATTATATATAATTATTACCTTATGTATTAATCTTTATTAATCTTATTTTAATATGGTGAACCTGAACTGAATAAATTTTCAAAAATATGATCTACAATGTTACAATGTAAATTAGTTTATATTTAATTTGTAGAACTTAAATTTGAACTAGTTCGTTTTTAAAAAATAGTTTCCCATCACAATTTATCCAATAATTTTTCAACTTCCTGTCTACTAAACTGGCCAATCCATGGTGCAAACTATGTCCAATTATTGACTATTGTAAGAAACTTTTGAATTATATTAGTTCTGATTTTAAACTTTAAATATTTATCACTATTAATATTAATATAATGTATGTATTTAAATTTATTTGAATAATAATGTCTACTTTACAGGTAGTGTCTGCATAACAACTTTTTAATTTATACATCATATCCAGCCAATTTTTATTTTATTTTATTTCAACCAAATTACAAGTATTTTAATACTATATATTAATTAAATGAATTATAATTTTTTTTTCAAATTTTAAAATTCATATTTGATGTGTATTTTTTTTAATTTAATGATATTTATTTTAGAAATGTTATTTTTTTTTTTAAACCGTTCAAACTATTAATTTATAAAAACAAAAAAGTGCCGTGTGGTTGTTATTTAGAGATAAATTGTAATTATAATTAATGTATATATGTGTAATGAAATAAACAGAATAGGCAAAGATTTAATTTTTGGTAAGCATATATACCTCATGTATAAAATATTATTATTACTAATAAGAATTTAAAAAAAAAAAAAAAATGTAACATGTTTATTTTATATAAGTTTGTGTGGATCGATTGGTGTGGACAACACATATAATCAATGAGCAACTTTTTAATAATAATTTACAGACCATTTCATTAATTTTATATAATGATGATTTTTTTTAACATAATGTTGATATTTTTGTTTTTTTTGTTTTTTGATTATTTTTTATTTGATAATAAAACAAAAATAATCAAGAATTATAATGACTGTATATACCTTTATTTTTTAATCCTGAATTCGAAATGACATACAAAAGAGGGTGAAGTAATCTATTTTTTCAAACTATTTTAATGTTGAAATTTATTCGGGCAAAAAAGATATAGAGAAGTTTTACAATACTGACAAATATTAAAATATGGACTACTAACTTTCTTCCCTTCATCTCTTGTGTCTCTAAAATATTTTTTGCGAGGAGAAATATGTGCCCATATATACGGCCGCCAGTAGCGCCTCTTAAGTCATCAACTGCGAGGACGACAGTATATTTTATACAATTAAATAAAAGTGCAATTAAAATATGCATTTAAACATTTCAAAATATACAATTATATACCTTAAAATGTATCAAATATACCTATTTTTTAACAAATATATGAAAAAAAAGATGTTAATATTAATTTAAAATAGATTATATATTGCATGCATTAAATATACACATATTTTAAAAATTACAAAGTTTTACAAAAAACTGAGTTAATATTAGTTCGAAATATAAATGATTCAAAATCAAAAAATAAAATAATTCAAAAGTTTAAATTGTACATATGTTAAATACTTTAAATCACAGGATTACACTATATAACAATTATTTTACTTAATTTTCAAACTTGAAAGATTTTCGACGACCTGACAGTATGGTATTGTAAACTACCCACCGTACCTACCTACAGTAGGTTTATAAATAACTAAGTATGTTAGTAATTTTTATTGATAGTGCCAACACTAGAGTTTACGTAGTGATATAAGGTGTTTGATTAGTAGTTACCGTACAAATTTTTAATATTATATTTAAAATTTTTTAAAATATGCTAGGTACTAAATCTCAAAAAAATCAATGTATGCATATATATGCTAAAAAAATTTCATTTATGCAAATATATGCAAAATAAGTTTGCATATTTGAAATCTAAATTTCATAAACTGAATTTATATCATATTCAGGTATACTTTTGATTAGCAATATGCAAATTAACATTAGTCATTAACATCCGAACTCTAATTATCAATGGTATTTACAGTTATGCAGTTTTTAACTATAATATATTAAACATTTTATATTAATACACATGCCTAATTGCTTAAATAGTTTTCATAATTTCATATTTTAGATTCTGAGTGAAGCGAAGAAGCTTATGGCTTTACAAATATGTTTATTTAATTTTTTTTTTTCTGTAGACACCTTTTTTCCAGCAATTTTGCTGCGATTCACAATGATAGCACTTTTTCTGAAAAGAAATCTGACAAGAAAAGTACTTTAGGGAGGAGTAATTTTTCGACTGATATTACCCTGCTTTTCAAAGTCAACAATGATGGTAGATCTGTTTGGAGGTTGTTTGATACTAAAATGTAATATTTTTGCTATGTTATCATTTTATCATCAATAGGATTTGTTATCACCTATTTTAATGCTGACCACGGTCTTAGATAAACTTCTAAAGATCTTCTAAGATAATGATATTGACCAATACGGGTATATAAATCCACTTTAATACTGACAGTTAATACCACGGCCATAAAGATCTATTTGGACGTAGTTAATACTCTGGTTTTTTTCACTTTATCAATAATAATATGAAACAATAAGGAAACAAATAAAACGAATCTGTTAGGGAAAAAATATTCTGTAATCATAATATTGACTACTGATAATAAATTTTAGTAAGAAAAATCAAACCTATCGAACTCAAAGGTAAGAATATTATCGTTTTAAAACTATGAAAAGTAATAAATTAATTTTTAAATTCTGATATTTCAGATACTCATCTCAATTAAAAATGAATTATCTATTCCTTTTAATTGTTAACCTGCAATTTGGTGATAGGACAATTCATATAAATATTGAAACTAACAGCACACAATTTTTCCTATTGAATGCAGAATTTGCTGTGTCCGAGACAGTTAATGTAGGTATGTGATCATGTATCAGAATAGTATTTAATTACCTATCTTATTTCAAAATTTGAAATTGATTTATTATTTTCAGATATTACTTAAGTGAGTGATGATAGCAACATGACTAACATTATGTATGGATTCATAGTATAAGAATCGAAATTCTCTAAGATTAAAAGCAAAAATTGTTTGACTATTTAGAATGTTTTGTATATAAAGTAAGATATTTTGTAAAAATTATCCTTAAACATAACAATATTGTACACTATTTTGTATAGTTTATCAGTTTAGGTTACATCAGTTTAACATAGTTCATTAAGTATTTATCAACTTAAAACACTCAGCATATCATCATATTATTTTTATATTTACAAATTAAATAGATTTTTGTTTTAAACATTTTTCAGGACTGTTTACTACTATACAGGGACACACAGTATTTTATTTTCAGTTTGTCATTTGTGAATTATAATTATTATTTAATTATTATTATAGGAGTACCTGGTCGGTGGTCATGGAGGAGTTTTTGGATGTTATTCAGTTCTGACTGCATTAGTATCATATTGTCATATTAAAGCATACGAAGCTTTGTACTACTACGAAATGTAACATTACCTTACCATGGTTAAATTAAAGGTAATCTATCAATCATAATTGATAAATGCAGGGGGGAAATATATTATAGTACACCTAGATTATAACTAACATTTTTCTTAAAACAATTGTGTTGCGTAACTAAATTAAAGGATATGTTTATTATATATAGATAGATTTTATGTAAATATATCTTTGATCCCAAGTAAGAAAAGCTTTCTTTCAATTTTTAAAATTGTTTGTACAATGTCTATATATTGTTCTATTATTATCTTTATACATATAATTTGTGTTGTTGATTTAGTTACATTTACATTTAAGCACTATTTCTCCTTAAATTGCTAATTCAATGTTTAAATTTTTTGGATCAGTTACAAAACATATTAATTTAAAAATATATATATTATAAAAAATTAAAATGTTATAATTATTAGTTTCTATGATTAAAAATAATTTCTCAAATACTATTGAACAAAATGAACATTATATTATTGATTATTTTGATTTAAGTTTCTAAAATGTAATATACTATTAATTTTCAATTTTATTGATAATAATTAACACAATTTTTTCATTTTTTTAAAGAATTTCTCCACATTAATTTTACTTTTTAGAATTATAATTTAGGTACTATTCTGCATATCAAAAAGCTTTGTGTTAATAAACATATTATTTCAGATTGAGTCAATAAATGAGAAAATCGGCTGATTCGTTTGAAGTAGATCTTTAGATAAAATATTCAAAGATACTGAAAATAATGAAGAAGAATAATGATAATGAAAAAGGTATACATTTCTGAATTCGAAACATTATTAGTAAAGAAAATAAATCTGAATTTTATGTTTTAGGCAAATGAATAATAATATGGAAATTTTCTTTTTAAATTGTTGAATAAAGCAACAATTTTATACAACTGGATTTGGCAGATACCAAGCAGAAAATTAAAAAAAAACAACTTCAGTTATTAAATAAGTCTTTTAGAAAACTTCTAATGAAAACTGTTGAACTATAGAACTAAATGTAGACAAATTCAAACCAAACTCTATTGCCTTGTTTACACGTGACGAGTACTCGGCCGAGAGAGTCAACTCGGCCGAGCACTGTCCCGTGTGAACTCAAGGAACCAGTACTCGGCTTAGTAATCGGACGAGTAAAATAAGCGGGCGAATAAAAAGAAACAGTTTCTATTCGCTCGGCCGAGTTATTACTCCCACTACCAAGATGTATGGTACTTGGCATGTCTAAACCGCTAGCCGAGTGTCGAGCTAGCCGATTATGTAAATATTATTGTTTTGTTTTTTTTTTACTTTCGGATTATCTATTACTTACTTTTATGAGTCTGTGATTGTTAACATTTCTACCCAAAATATTTCTCCTATCATAAACTTTAAGGAGGTTTTAATAAATATTTATATAGTTTATATTTTTATAGTATAATATTGTTTGGCTTCAGATCAAATATTTCATACGAGGCTCATAATAAGTTATTCTTGATCATAGAAAGAAAGTTTACTGTAGTTTAGTAATTTTTTTTTTATACCCTTTTTATTTTAAATTATGACAAAAATTGTAAAAAGTATATTTTAAAATATGTTTAACATTATTTAGAATTGTATTTTGTAAATAATTGATTGATGCATATAGTTGTTATAGTTATAAATTAAATAATTATGCATTCTTCTTTTTTAAAAAATAAAAATTAACTACGATTANCACCATGTTTTATATCAGTGGTCTTCAACCGGTGGGTCGCGACCCATTTTAGGGGCCGCGTAAGCTTAAAAATTGCGATAATTGTTATTTTCAAATAAAAATTGAGTTTATACAATTATATAAGGTTTACAAATAATTGTTTAATTATTAAACTTAGAAAATTAATAAATGAAAATACAGTTTGAAAATTATTGTAATATATTAGGAGTATGACATTTATTATAATAATTTATGATTAAACCAGGCTAGTAATAAAATAAATATATTATATTATTATTGTTAAAAAATCCCATAATCTACAAACATTGTTGTTGAATAAATGTTAGTCGCGTTATTATTCTATTCATTTTTCTGTATCCATTAAAAAGTTTGTTTTATTTTGTTTTTTTTACAAATATTTCTTTATGTATGTCTTTTATGAGTTGCGAATAATGTACGCTTAAAAAAGTGAGTCGCGAATCTAAAAAGATTGAAGACCACTGTTCTATATGAAACTTTTTTAATTTTCTACACCATTGTAATAATTATTTTACCCACAACGCTTTTCTATACTAAAAATTAAATTAATATTATAATTTTTAATAGGAACATCAATTTAAACATATTATATTTATAAGTATAATTTTATAATGAAAAATACTTACCTACTTTTGTTTCTGTATATTGCTGGTCCCGTAACAACAATGACCAGTGTAAAATATCCATCAATATTTGAAGAATTTTGAAATGCAGTTTTTACATTGATTTAATCAAATAATTTGGTCAATAAACCTTTGCCCATCCAATAGATATTTTATAATATTTTATGTATTATTTACCTAGATACCTATTTTTATTTCATTAATACCTATATTAACTATGGTGTAACACCTTACAACAGCCATGTACCTGTGTACCTATTTTTACATTTTTCATTTATTAATAATCAATTGTTTGACCACCTTTAAGTACACTAACTGGTATTTACCTTCACTTGGATCTGCATGACACAAAAATATCCTAAGTTCCTATGTGTAATCACAACAAAATTTCAAAATATATTTATGGTTTATAAATAAATAATAGACCAACACATAGATTTTTTATAATAAAAATATGTTTATTGAAATATAATTGAATATCAAAACAATATATATTATTATAATAATATTTGGAATAATTCCGTTAAAATTAAAAATTATTATACTGTGTATTAATTGTATATAAACTTGAAATAGATAAAATGATTGATTATATAATGAAATATTGAAATGTCATAAATGTATTTATTATTATTAAAATTTAGGCTTATAAATGCATTCTGGATACATAATTTTTATAAGCAAATCATCTTTACAGAGGTTTTTGTTGAAAGCATACCTCTTTGAGATGGCGGACTTGGTGTCAGAGGTAGGAATTTCTTCCGAACCCAATTGTAAACCATCATTCTCCTCAGCAACAGTAGAGCTAGTAGAGGTAATTGTTTCTGTCGAATTTGACACCTGATGTTTTAACTCGGATTCTGCATAAAAAGGCATGGAGTTGTTAAAATCATCGGTTGTTGAATTCAAATGTTGTGCAATATCTACGAAACAGTTTATTGTACAATTTAGATCTGTCTTATGTGTTGAATCCGCGTTCGTTAAATTTGTTTTTAGCTCGTATGTCGTCAAGATTGATTCGTTATACGTAGAATTCGTAATATTTGTAGTGGAACCCATTTCCACGGGTTTCGACTCTAAGTTTGGTGTGACAGTGATTAATGTGGAATTCACCTCTGGTCCGTGTCTCCCACTGGTGGTCTCCCATCCGTTACTCGTCACGTTTAAAACAGAGGGTTGGTCCAACAATGCAGCCGATTGATTCGCTGTTGCATTAAAAACATGAGGTTTTTCTAAAATCGTGGCCGAATCGTTCAATGTTGTAGGTGCGTACTTGACGGTGGTAGTAAAGTTTGACCCCTGCAAATAATCTGATTCATGGTTATTGAAGACGCTGGTTGATGAATTGTCCGTAGAATCAAACGATGCATGGGAAGTGGAGTTCATAACAGGTGCAGCGGCAACGATCGTAAAACAGACGAACGAGACCAACAGCGTCGTGAAAAAACTTGTTGAAGTCATGATTTCGTTAAAGTGGATGATGGACAAAATCGAACGGCAGTCAGTAGTGGTCACTGGTCGGATCGGTAATGTTTCCGTAGTGTAACGCGCTCGCCGTCGCCCGTCGGTTCACCGTGGCTAAGGGACTTCAAATAGACTGTAGAGGGCGTTTGTGTCACCTAATATTTTCTCCCTCTAGTTTAAACGTCGTTCGGCAACCCTCCAACGTTATACAGCGGTTTATAATAAATCAAACACTACTGGTTTGGCTACAGCTGGATTGTGCGTGAATTCTGGTTATTAATAGATATATTGAGTATATTATATGATCGCGATTGTATTATTATATTTTATAAAATAATCGCAGATTGATATCTTTATTAGATTGGAAGATTAAATGATAATAGTTCATGTAGATTATATTATAGTCCTTGTATACAAAACACTTCAGTGATATGCGACCGCGATCGCGAATAATATTTTAAGTCGCAGACGCGATCGCTTAGTCAAATTGTACCGCGTACCTAATCAGTGGCAGATCTGAAACTTGCGATTGGCGAAATTATACAAGTACTGAAAACAAATTTCGGGGGCTGGGGGTTAAAATTGTTTTAGTACAGGTACCTACTATATGCACTTATATTATTCACATTCAAACGTATACCACTGGATTCTCTGTTTCCTCCTGCAGTTACGGCCTTGGGTACTGTAGCTGAAGTTAAATGGGCCCCGTGCCAATTTAATTTGTGGGCCCATTATTTTCCATTCATATTTAATCTAAACATAGGTAGGTACTGTAAAAAAGCAATACATATTAATGTATCACCTTGAAATTTTTCTATTTTTTCTATTCATATCCCGGCTATCTGGCGTTCACGTAACCAGTCACGTGATGGTGCCGGCGAGTTCTTACCAGGTTGTGAAAAGGCAACTTAACCCCCCAAGGTTAAGTTTGTGATGGGGTTTGTCAACTTGGATACCTATTTAAATTAAGTATAAATACTGTGGTTAAAGTTATTAACCAGTATCCAGTGAGGGCGTTTGAGGGTTATAACCCAGCCCGAAATTGTTTTTTGTTATACATATTTATCAAAAAATATGATCATTATACGATTTTATTACCTACCTAAATATATTAATTTTAAGAAAATTTTTTTTTTAAATATCATCAATTACATAATACTAACATAGCGTAAATTGTTGCGACTTATCTATTCGTGATTACAATATTTTTTACTATACAAAAGTTAAATGAATTATAATTTTGTTGCGTAAAAATATGTATACATATAATTCTTAGAATATGATTGTTTATAAGCAAATATTGTAAAGTTAAGCGTAAATGATTCCAAAAACCCAATAATTTTATAGAGTAAGTAAATATAGATTACTTTGAAAAATTAATTTTTTACGATTATGTTTTTGTAGTGGCAAATATTTTGTAAGCAGTTGTCCATTTGTATTACCATGCCATGTTCTCCTACATTATTAATTAATGCCAATTAGAATAGAATAATATAATTTATGCATGATTTAGGTACCTATACTTGTATTGAAAATCTATCTAAATAATATTTAAAATCTTATTTCTTATTTCTTGCTTGAAAACCCCTTTATATGTATACTTCTAATGGGAATCTATTTAGCTGTATACATTGGATATATTTGAAAAATATACACAAAAACCTAACAAGTACTGTTGAATTTTTAATCGCAGTATCTAAGTAATAACACTTATAACATTCGAAAATCATGCTTTCAAAACATTATTTTTAAATTTCCTTTGTTTTTATTAATCTAAAATAACAAGTATAGTAAATATTTATATTTTTTTAATTATTATTAAAATATACGTATTCATTTACAACTTAAAATCCTTTCTTAGCGGATGCTTACGTCATAATAGCTATCTTTATAACAAATTTTAGCCCGTTCCGTCCAGTAGTTTGGGCTAGGCAATGATGAATCAATCAGTTAGTCACTCAGTCAGGACTATAGAGTCATATATAGATATTTGTAACTAATTAGTAATAATGTGGTAATTACACTAATTATTCTTTAAAAATATAGTTTGTTCAATTATTTCCATGTGGTTGTGAGTAATATTGTAGTCTGGGGATTTTTATTCCGAGATTAAATAATTATACAGAGCGTCTCACGAATATATACTCATTTAATACTTCCAGATAAAATAAAAATAATCAAATCATAGTTTTTTTTTTTTTTTTTTTATATTATTATTACTTGTAGGGATAATGACTACAAATACCTATGTATAAAAATAATATTTTTAATAATAAAATAAGAAAAAACATAATTTAGTTTTCTTTATTATCTATGGGGATATTACAATGAGTATATCTCCGTGGAGCTTTGTACGTAGTTTATGTAGGTCAGGTAGACATAATAAATATTATGAATTCGAGTTCCTCTTTTATATTTATTAAACCTATGTTCTGTTGTTGTTCAGAGCCACTATAGTTAAGTTGGAATTTTGTGAACCTGACATATATATACGTATTCAAATTGTACAAAACCACCAAAATATACAAATTCATCATTATGTTCACTACGTTCGAATCTCGGAATAAAAATTATCCAAACATTCTAACTTTATTGTACTCTATGTGGCACGGCGACGCTTTTATTTTCCTCTATACCTAAACCCGAACAAGATATATTTTCGACCTTTTATGTTGGTGCCTATCATCGTTTCGTTATTTTATTGAGTGTTGTCCACATGTGCTCGTGATGCCGCCCCTTCAATAGGCGTATCCCGATTTTGAATACGTGCCTTCCCTTATCGGCTTTATTTCACATATGTCCTAACCGTGATTTATAATATTATAAATAGGTAGGGACTCGCATATTGCATTTTGCAACTGCAACAGTTTCTCGGATCGTGTTTTACAATAATATATTACAATTTACCCTCATATAGTGTGTGAATGTAGGTACGAAAACGAATAATATAACCGTCCCAAATACTGCGTCGGCACATACCCAAATAATACTATTTTATTTTCCGAACAAAACAAATATAGACCAAACACGACACACCGAGTAAGAATGAGTATCATGATGAGTAGCAGATGTATCATGTAAAGCATATGACATATATAGTTAATACAGATATCGTTTTTTCGACGGAAATCGTTTTTAAATAAAACAGAAATATGTTGTAATTTAAGTAAAACACACATCGTGTTCGAAATATAAAAATTCAATTGAATATTTTTCTAATAATATCCAAAGGTGCCCACAAAGAGGCAGAGGGAACACTCTCTTGTTTTCAACAAGTTAAAATAACTATTTCCAAATTCAATATCTCAAAATCCAAAAATGCATTATTGGTACCAAGGTGTACACCTTAATTGGTACTTAGTCGGTAGGCATATTTTGTGATAATAGGATTCCATTAATTTATTATCACAATACACAATGATTTATGCCCTATGATTTAAAATTGGTATCAACTACTACAGCCAATCGTGTATGAATATTTTTTATGGACAGCTGACTAGCGATTATCTAATATGTGAAAATAATTTATCCGGATTAGTTATGTTAAGTTAATATAGGAAAAAAGTCGAAGAAACGCCATATTATAGTAAAATATTTAAATAGGCTCTATATATTTTCCTTAATACTAGTTGTTTAATGTTGTACCGATTTCTCCGGTTTTTCTACTTTTTTCCCGAGTTTTCTATGTTTTTCCCAGTTTTTCACATTTACTGAGAAAAATTTGGAGAAAATCGAAAAACGATCTCTCTAAGGTACTTCCACAGTGAAATTTAATTTTAGAAAAATTGCGATCATTAAAAAATGGAGCAAAATTGCTGGTAGAAAATTTGTGCACAGAAATAAAGGATGCCGTAATATATTTTAGTTAATATCTACATTTCTTATATTTTCCCGTTTTTCTTTTCGGTTTTTCAAATTTGATGAGAAAACTTTTGAGAAAATCGAAAAATTACCACCCTAGAAAATAATACTACGATGTTTTTTTTCTGCGAATAAATTTTCTACCAGCTCCAACTTTTAATAATAGCAATGTTTCTAAAAGGAAATTTCACCGGGGAGTTACTTTATGGAGGTCGTTTTTCCATTTTTCCCCGGAGTTTTTTCAGCAAATGTGAAAAACTATAAAAAACATAGGAAAACCGGGAAAAATGTGGAAAAACCGGGAAAATAGTATTAAAGAAAACATATAGAGCCTATTTAATTATTCTACTATAATATAGTGTATATATTGTTGACAAAGCATAACTATCAACTGAACTCCGCTCAGAATCGTTTTTTCGTAAGCAATAGTTTATCGTTGCCTTCAGGTATACACTAAATTTAAGAATCACGTGGTTCTAAAATGTAACACTTACAAAATTACAATTATAAGTATGCGATAAAATTGCCTAAAATTGATTTTCATTAAATTATATTGAAAATTTATTAACATTATATCGCTAATATTCTCGCCTTTCACTTCGCTTCCTTGTTATATTAACATTTTAAGATCTAGTGATACCATATGAAATTATGTTATTTAATGTTTTTTTTTTATTTTAGTAATATACTCAATGATCATAATTAAATGTCTATATGGATAAGCAATTTAGGTTTACCAATTGATTCAGGCATAGTCTAATGTAAAAATATCAAATACCTTTAATATTAATAATAGTCCCTCTTCCATTTTGTTTTTGGAATAATTTGGTAAGTTTTTCTACGTAAACAATTAATATTATTAAAAGTTAATTTTTTTTAATGAAGAGTTATTTAAACAGGTCAATTTACTATGATATTAAAATTAAAAGCACAAAATTAGTTCTGCTGATTTCAGAAGTTATGGCGTATGTTTATAAGACAGAAAAAACAAATGCATGCGTAACTCTTAAACAGTTTTACAATGATTGATGAGAAAAAAAATTAATTTTACTTGATAATCGCTGGATCATGATAAAAAATAAAAAAACATCCTGTATGTATCACCCTGTATATGTTTCCGCCAGATCTACTCCAAT